ATGATCCAGCTCCTCCTCCCTGGTTGTCACTTCCATTAACCACACGCGTGTCAGCTGCCTCCTGTACGCTTGGGCTTGCCTCCTCCCTCCCAGCCACTCTCAGTAGTGGACACTGGAGCAACCCGCTGCCCAGTCACTCCTACACACCTTTGCTGGTTTAAGTCTTGTCCCCAACTTCTTAGAACTGGAGTGCCCCTGGGCTCACCTCTTGTCACCTTTTCACCCTGGGACACTCACTCCCACCAAGATCTGATTCTTTGTCTGGCTTTAAGCACCATTTACTGTGCACGCGCCTACGATTCCCCCAGCTTTCTCTCTGGCTTCGAACCCTTCTGCTCTACCCATCTCCATTCGCAAATCTAACATCATTTCAATGTTGGGTCCAGCACTGAACACTGATTCCTCCAAAGCCTGCTCTACCCTTCCTGGAATGACTCCCCCAACCCCAGCCACACACGGCCCCTCGATTCTCAGCCTCAAACACATCTCACCACCTTTGCTACCAGCACCTCTAGCCCGGATGACTGCACCAGTCTCAGCTGGTCTCTGCTTCCACCCTGGTCCCTCTCAGTCCATTCTCAACAAAGCCAGCACCGTGATGGAGTGAGGAATGGCCAGGGCCCACCAGGCATGCTGAGCCACTACCCTCCAACTTCACCCCCTGCTGCCCTCCCTCCCTCCACCCTAGCTTCACCTAACTCCTAGGGCAGGCCTGGTAGGCCCCTGCCTGAGGCCTCTGCACCCCTCTACCATTCCCACAGAGCAAACTCCCTCAGCCTTTCCTGTCTTGCCCTAAATGTCACCTCTGGTAAGGACCAGCCCTCACCAATACTCCCCAACACCTCGTCCTGTTCTTTTTCTTTTTCCACAGCAAGTATCACCTTTGACATATTTTATTTTGTATGGGTTGTCTGTCTCCTCCCTCTAGAATGTAAGTTCCATGAAGGCTAGGTTCTGGATTTTTCCTCTCTTACAACCCAAGTGCCTCGAACAGTCTCTGGGGCAGATGAGGTGACCAATGAGAGCTCCCTAAATAATACTACCAGGACCCCCAGCTTCACTCCCATAAACACTCCGGGGGGGGGGGCGCCTGGAGGTAGAAAGACCTCGCCAAGGCCAAGGAGCAGGAGAGTCTGGGGATTTCAAGGTCTTTCCTGTCATCAGCCTTCAGGGACACACATCTGTCTGTCTATCCTTAGCAATTACCAGATGCTCTCACTATTCATGTGTTCTTGGCATTCAGAATGTAACATTCACTGTCAAAATACACCATAAAACACACTACTTCTGCAGAGTAAGTCCACATCTAAGAATCTACTGCTGTTGATGGAGTCATGGGCCTCCACTGGGGGCATTTTTGGCAGAGAATGATACTCAAAGAAGGAAACACTTTTTTTTTTTTTTTTTTTTT